ACACACACACACACACACACTCATATATATATATATATATATATATATATATAGATATATATAGTTCGACCGCCTTTCTTCTGAGGTTAGATCTATAAAAACCTATATTTTTACAAGTGTTAACAACAGAAAATCCTCAATAACCATGGCTGTAATTACATCTAGTTATGAACTAAAAGTTTGTACTTGAAAACATACTCAGAGCCATTTTATGAGCCGCTATGCCACGACTCAAAATAGAAAGTGTCAAATGCCACATGGAAAATAACCTCCTTTAACATTTTGTGCTTTAAAGCGACAAAATTGTAATATTGTTTCCTTCTTGTAAATTTGAAATTTGTTTTTTTCTTAGAATTTTGCATAAAGCTACTTGGGTGCTATCTGCACTAGCCATCCCTAATTTAGTATTGATAGACTAAAGGGCAGTTAGTCAACATCACCCACCGCCAATTTTTTAGTTATTCTTTTACCAATAAATAGTAGGATTGACCGTCACATTATAACACCTCCCATTCAAATCTTTATTACATTTACATTGAACATCATTCGTATTAAAATACATATGTTCAACTAAGACAAATGGAATGATTCAATCGGTTTTGAAATAGTAAATTTAACAGTTATAATGTTATTATTAATACAAGCATATAAATTACATTTTACTTTCAAAAGAAATGTTTAGCTGTTAAAGTTATCTTGATATTTTCTTTGGAGATTAAAATCAGATGATGACCGGTTGTATTTCATGAGTCAATTCTCTGTATTCCTCACGTTCAAAATATCACCTCTTAGCCTAACAATCTAGAAATTCGTGATGTATTATGAATTTTATATAATAACAATAGTAATAAGCTTACAACAACTATTTTTTTACGTGTGCACAGCAAACACCGAACGTAGTTTTATATCATATATACATAATGTGTATGGCAGAAATGACTTTCTTACATATTATAGTCTCACGTCGTAATGCCTCAACAACCGCTTCGTATGAAAGTGCATTTTGTTGGCATTATCAAATAGTTAAATACGTTTTATGGATATTAATAAAAGTTTTTTAGCAATCAACCCTAAACTCTAATTAGATGACCAATGTCAACACATGTAACGCTCTCTAGCTTTATATATCAACACTAACAAAACATATTTTTCTTGCAGTGTAACGGTGAATATAATGTGTTCAAAACATTCAGAATGTGCTTTACTTTCACAGTGTTACAGCATTGAAAACATGTTTACACGTATTCCTCCCTCATACAAGAAAAAAAAAAAACAGGAAAAACCTACTATACATTCATAACGTAATAACGACAGGGATGTTTGTTACGAGCAAGATCAACAAATTACGTCAGACCTTCACGGTACAACAATATTCAAAACTTATTTTAGAGTATCAAAAGGTGAATCAGGCTTACTGCAGATTACCTTAAATCCCCACAGTTTTCTTAAGTAGTCCATTACGGATTTCATATCAGAAGTGACCAAGAGACCTTTTATTCAACACCAGAAATCGTCAGTTTGACTGGACTTAAAGCAACTAAAAAATCTATTTAAAATTCAAAGCATGTGCAGTGCAAAAGGGTTCATGCTGTGGTGTAAAACGTCAAAGCTGATGAATTAAGGAGATTTTTAACGCCAGATAAAATTGACGAAAATGACCTTTGACTGTAAACTTTATTTTTCTTAAACGCTTTTTCCCTGCCATATTTGATCTTCGTCTCTTTGATTCGTCAACTTTAATATTTTAAAATACAATATCCAAATACGTTTTTTTTTACACTTTAATAACAATCACGCTATTTAACCAACACATTCTAATAATTATAACAAAAATCGTTGTTATGCAATTACAAACTAAAAATAATACAAAATTGCCAGATAATTATCGTAAAAATAAACAATAATTTTGAATATTACAATTCTCTCACAGAGTAGCAAATGAAATACTGGTATGTCTTCTTGTTAATAGATAATCCAAAATAGCGAAAAACATAACGTCCTCATAATTATTTAACTAACATTAAAACTAAGTTTTAGTTTCGTAATAGTTAGAAGGGTTGGGCGAGACCGTCTTGAAGTGGAAATGAACAGTTTTACCCATATATATAGAGTCCATTTTTTGTAATAAACTACTATAATGTACTTAATACCAAAGAAGATAATGCATAAACATACATGAAACAAATATCGTTTGAAAACTGCCAAAACTGAGACGATTAGTTGCATTAAAATAAACCACACAGATAAATATCTACAACGAAAATACATTTCCTCGATATACAAAAGCGTGTGTGTGTAAAATACAATATTAATACACCGTACTATGAATATATTCAATACAGTAATGACACTATCACCCCCCACACACACACATATACACACGTGTGTAAGCGGTCATCCGTCTCACTTGACGCAAAATTTATTCTATAGGGGCGTCTGATTCAGTAACATTCAAATTTATATTTTGGGTAACGATAACTATAATTCTGAAATCACATTAACGAGGAATTAAAGCCCATAGACACAGATGTAGGCTTATGATCGTCAAAAGCTAGTAGTAACAATATGATAAACAACAGTTGTTTCTTTAACGAAAAGCTACACAACTGGCTAACTGCTTTTTGTCCACTGGTATTTCTTACATTCTTAAAAGAACTTCGTATTCCACGAATTTGCTTTAATGAACATCGAGCCTTTGTTGTCGGTGTGATGAATTAAACTTTAAAAGAAACATTCTGGAAGCTGGTACGACCACTCTTCATCCAGCGCTGTCTGATGGGAGAAACGAGCACTGTTGATTTCAACATTATTGAACTTTATGTTATAAGGATTGAAACAAAAATGTAACAGAATTTTATTTCCCACGAGTTAGTAGTTTATCCGTTACATTATGAAGCTAATGGCGGAACACTTGAAGAATAAAAAGTACAACTATTGTAGTAACAGACCCTCTCGATTAAATATACTGATATGAGTTGACTTATTTGTCTAACAATGGAACTTTACAAATTGTAATATTTCTTCTTGCGCCATCTATCGTGAAATAGATTTATTTTAATACATACATTTTAATATTCATTTTAATACATATTTTGTTGGTTTTTTAGTGCAAAGCTATACAATAAAATATCTGCGAATTCCGGAATTTAGCATCGTAGGTCCGAAAACTTATCGCTAATCTACCGGGAAATTACTTGGAGCCTAAAATATTGTGTCTAGTATAATAAATACGTAATGTTAAAGAAAAACTGCCAAAAAATAGAGTGAACTAAATTCATCGTTGCTAAAAATTGATAACCATCGTTTGTAAAGCAAAATATTTTTGTTGTTTTGTTTTACCAGAGGATATAATTGAAGCTTTTCCAATGTTTCACCAATATAAAATCTCGTGTTACTGTCAATAAAACAATTTTATAACATAATTTACTTTCAGTGGTAAATTCTTTCCAGGATATTGAATTTTTCAAGTTGTTGAAGAACAGAATTCCTCATGCACTTATACCTTCCTAGAACGAAGTGTTGAGTTCACGACAACACAGTTTAGTTACTGAAGAGAAGACATGTCAATACTCTGTATTCATCTCTGGAAGAACGGTGTCTGAACGTATATGCTGGATGGGTATATCACTTTAGGCTTCCCTAAAAAAAATTAAAACAAGACAATTTGTTACGTATTATAATTTCAAGTAGTCCGAAACCGAGTTAACTGATAATGTAAATTTAGTAGTTAAATTACACTTTGGATTTAGTATTTAAATAAATGCCAATATATAGTCAGTTTATGTTATTTGCTAACAAGATTGATACACACCGTTTTCGTTTGTAAGACAAATACGTTTTAATATACACACAACAGTACAATTTCCAATAACAATTATTACAAATAGTTACTACAAACAATGATTTATAAACAAAAGTTTCACAAAGTTACAAGCAATATAAAGTTGTTTTTTCTAGTTTGGAACTTCCTTGATATCTTATCGAAGGTTCACGATGAGTGAGTTGACAGAGATATATTTCACTTAACGGGAAGCTAGCTAGCTTTGTCTCTCACACGCCGATTTTTCCACCGTTGAAGTTAGGTAATGTTTTCATAAAAATACTAATGTCCGATGAGAATCCACTGAAGTTAAATAATTTGTGATATTCGAACTTTGTAAAGGTTCCTGGTCAAATATCTGAAGTTTTCCGATTGATAAGCGTTATAAAAATCACAGTTATAGCTTTCAAAGTTTATAGCACGCTGACTATAACAAAATACTCTCTTGGCGCAGCGCGTTAGTTATATTTATAGCCGTGGGAACGTTTTCTAGAAAATTCAGTCTTACGTAACAATACAAGTGTTTACGTATATACATATACTGTTGAATCTCACTCTCGAGAATTTTCTACAACTTTGGAGAACAGGCGGGAGTTTCGCAATACATTTCTAACACTACAAGCTTTGCATGTTTTTAAATATAAGCTTAATCTAAACAACGTCAATATCAAAATAACTACATAACAACAAATGTGTTACAAATTAGATTTAACTTTCTACTCGATGAAAATACGATGACATTTAAAGAAAATTATATTATATTTTTGTCCTTGTAGCAGTAATACAAGGTTAGTAATCTAATGAAAATGCATTTACTCGAAAGCCAGAGATGAAAACTCAATTCTACAATATTTAGTCATGAAAATTCAATATTGTTTGCACGTTTGACAACTCAGACAATGGCAAACATTGGTGCCATCAAACTTTATACGTATCTTTTTTCTATAAAGTAACAAGCAGAGTACACACACACACAAATATATAAACATAAAATCAAACACCCTTAAACTTCTTAACCAAAAGTCTTTCTAGTCAAACTGGACCAATTTCATGACTTATACGTCATTCTTCAGCATTCTTTAAAACTTCACATTTTTTTATAAAAAAATGTTACTATTTAAAGTGTTCAATGGATTGCATTATCAACGTGAATAACTCTTTTTCTTTCTATATTTATATATGGTTAAGGTCAAACAGGGCCTTACACTTTTCTTCGCGCTTTTAAGCGGATGACTACCTGTACTAACTTTCTTAGTAGGCAATGCAAGTGTGCATTTGTGAATTGAAAACATGATAGAGAACTTATCTTTTAATGGATTTCTGATTTTATTTTTATAAATAGTAGCATAACATTCAATTATTTGTACAAAACTGTATTATTTAATGAAGTTTAAAGAGAATTTAAATGAAAAAATTCCTAAAATACGTTTTAGGCTGTAAATAAGCGCC